ACCCCCCCCCTGCCCTCCCCTCGGGTAGCTGGGGGAGGAGACATGTCGTTCACCCCCCCCCCCCCCACCTCCCCCAGTCGGGTAGCTGGGGCACGGAGAGATCTGTCGTTCACCCCCCCCCCCCCCTCCGGCTCCCCCAGTCGGTAGCTGGGGCACGGAGGAGATCTCGTTCACCCCCCCCTCCCCCTCCCTCCCACAGTCGGGTACCTGGGGCACGGAGGAGATCTGTCGTTCACCCCCCCCCCTCCGGCTCCCCCAGTCGGGTAGCTGGGGCACGGAGGAGATCTGTCGTTCACCCTCCCCCCTCCCCTCCACAGTCGGGTACCTGGGGCACGGAGGAGATCTGTCGTTCACCCCTCCCCCCTCCCCTCCCACAGTCGGGTAGCTGGGGCACGGAGGAGATCTGCGGCTCACCCCCCCCCCTCCCTCCGGCTCCCCCAGTCGGGTAGCTGGGGCACGGAGGAGATCTGCGGCCAGCCAGCCATGCCGTTCACCCCCCCCCCCCCTCCCCCCCCCCCCCCCCTCCCCCAGTCGGGTACCTGGGGCACGGAGGAGATCTGCGGCCAGCCAGCCATGCCGTTCACACCCGGCCAGCCGTTCGAACTCACCATCTTCTGCGTCGACGAAACGTACCGGGTCAGTTGCACCTCATTCTGGACGCTCCTCGTTTGAACAGCTTACTGTGGAAAGCGAGTTTCTGAGTACCTAAGGTTTTTTTGCGATGATATACCCAAGTGATCTGTTTTCCCCGTCAATGGGCCTATCCTCCGGACATTTAAGTATTTGATCGGTAACAGACTGTGTCTTCCAGTCAACTATGACCGGGCTGCCCCCTCTGTCACTACTGTTAGCTGACCGACTATCCCCTCTGTCACACTGACACTGACCGACTGTGCCCCGTGTCACCACTGTTACTGACCGACTGTCGGGTACCATGTCCCCACCGGCACTGACTCGACCTCCCCCCTGTGTTTTGGCAGCTGGCGGTGGACGGGCGCCACTTTGCCACGTTCCGGGCTCGCTCGCCGCCCTCCCGCGCCAGCACGCTCCACTGCACGGGCACCATGGAGCTGCAGGCGGTCGGATACGCCGACGACGTGCGCCTGTACCCGCCGCGGCCGGCGCCGGCGCTCGCCCTGGCCGCGGACGGCGGCGGCTACCTGCAGACTCAGCCGGTGGGTACCTGCAGAATACAGACTCAGACGGTGGGTACCTGCAGAGTACAGACTCAGCCGGTGGGTACCTGCAGAGTACAGAGTCAGCCGGTGGGTACCTGCAGAGTACAGACTCAGCCGGTGGGTACCTGCAGAGTACAGACTCAGACGGTGGGTACCTGCAGCCGGTGGGTACCTACAGAGTACAGACTCAGCCGGTGGGTACCTGCAGAGTACAGACACACCCGGTGGGTACCTGCAGAGTACAGACTCAGCCGGTGGGTACCTGCAGAGTACAGAGTCAGCCGGTGGGTACCTGCAGAGTACAGACTCAGCCGGTGGGTACCTGCAGAGTACAGACTCAGCCGGTGGGTACCTGCAGAGTACAGAGTCAGGCGGTGGGTACCTGCAGAGTACAGACACACCCGGTGGGTACCTGCAGAGTACAGACTCAGACGGTGGGTACCTGCAGCCGGTGGGTACCTACAGAGTACAGACTCAGCCGGTGGGTACCTGTAGACAAACCCGGTGGGTACCTGCAGACTCAGCCGGTGGGTACCTGCAGAGTATGTACAGACACACCCGGTGGCTACCTGCAGACTCAGCCGGTGGGTACCTGCAGAGTACAGACTCAGCTGGTGGGTACCTGCAGAGTACAGACTCAGCCGGTGGGTACCTGCAGACTCAGCCGGTGGGTACCTGCAGACACAGCCCGGTGGGTACCTGCAGAGTACAGACTCAGCTGGTGGGTACCTGCAGAGTACAGAATCAGCCGGTGAGTACCTGCAGACACAGCCGGTGGGTACCTGCAGAGTACAGACTCAGCTGGTGGGTACCTGCAGAGTACAGACTCAGCCGGTGAGTACCTGCAGACACAGCCGGTGGGTACCTGCAGAGTACAGACTCAGCTGGTGGGTACCTGCAGAGTACAGACTCAGCCGGTGGGTACCTGCAGACACAGCCGGTGGGTACCTGCAGAGTACAGACTCAGCTGGTGGGTACCTGCAGAGTACAGACTCAGCCGGTGGGTACCTGCAGACACAGCCGGTGGGTACCTGCAGAGTACAGACTCAGCTGGTGGGTACCTGCAGAGTACAGACTCAGCCGGTGGGTACCTGCAGAGTACAGACTCAGCCGGTGGGTACCTGCAGAGTACAGACTCAGCCGGTGGGTACCTGCAGAGTACAGACTCAGCCGGTGGGTACCTGTAGAGTACAGACACAGCCGGTGGGTACCTGCAGAGTAGTCAGCCGGTGGGTACCTGCAGACTCAGCTGGTGGGTACCTGCAGAGTACAGACACACCCGGTGGGACAACCGGTGAGTGAGACTGGCCAGCAGAGACCCGAGTACCAGTAGAGCACAGTGTGCCGCCCCGCCATGTAGTCTGTCGCCCCTCCCAATACCCCGCGACCCCCCCCCCCCCGCCGCTGTGTGACGGACCCCCAATATCTGCCCCGCGGCAGCGTCGGTCACCAAGCCGCGACATTTCCACAGGAGTTCCCGTGCCGACTGCCGGAGCCGATTCAGGACGGCGGCGAGATTCGGCTCACCGGACGCGTCAAAATGCTCCCCTTCTCGTGAGTCGGTGCCGGGGAGTGCGCGTGTTCAGGATGATCGTGGTGGAACGGTTGGGTTGTTTCTATATCGCTAACTACGGCTGTCACGAGACATCACATAAACCGTGTCTCAGCTGCGCAGTTTTCCATCTATGGTAGGCATCGGATCTCGGTTCCATAGTTGGCAACAAATCTGTGGCTTATTAATTTCATGTTTTTTTATCCAGTTTAACTTATCGGTTCTGCCGTTCTTCAAAATATGCCCTGATGATGACTCGTCCTAGTTTTCAACATAATCGCATTTCGACTCAGATTTTTTATATTAACCCGCGCCCTGATGGGGGGGGGGGGGCATTTTGGCCCCCCTGTGGTTTTTCTTAAATAGCGAGAAAGCGCCGCCAAATTTTGGGTACCTTACCGGGCATCAATTTGACACCTTCACACAAAATCTCAAGTCACAGGTCACCTTAGGTCAGGAGTTATTGAGGTCAAACTGAGGTCGTGTTCGAGTGAAAATGAGCAAAAAACATGTCATCTTGAAACGCTTACCAATTCTACAGTTAATAAGCAATTTTAAAGTTCTTTATGTGGTTGTGTAGAGAAAAGACGGCGCTACAAAACTACTATCTCGGATTCTCGAAATTGTGGGATGTTCACCCCCAAAAATAAAAAAATTGATTTTTTAAGAAAAACTAAAAAAATCCAATTTTTTTCGAATTTCGAAAAAAAACCGGAATATATGTGATAGTCCCTGCGCTCTTCGATATACATACCAAATCTTAGATCGATACCTCTTTTTTTGGCCAAGTTATAGTGAAAAACTGTTCAAAAAACATGACGTCAAATTTTTTAACTCAATTTTTAGCAATTCTAGACCTCGTAGCGCAAAACGGAGACCACCATTGAACTCCCCGTGACAAGCTGCATCGAATCGATACCCATTTTATGCAAAAATATCAACTTTGAAATTTGATCTAATTTGACCTGACCTTGACCTGACCTTGACCTGACCTTGACCAAAACGTGACCTAAGCTGGCCCAAAAGTCTGCCTGACCCACATTATCGCATTTGTCATGTAAAATGGACCATAAAACATGTATCACACGACACTTTCATATTGTGATCCCCCCAGTGACCTGACCTCTGTGACCTGACCTGGTATCAGTGACTTCAAATAGCAAAATATGTGTTTGAAGAACATTTCCCCATCGATGATTTTCAATGAAATGCATTTTACTCGATTTTACAACGCATTTCTTGAAATGCCTGTAAACGGTGAAAATTCGACCTTTGACCTGACCTGTGACGTCATCGGTTTGACCGAGGTCAATGAAATTGGGTCACAAGGTAGTTCCCCGTTGGGGCTATCCAACGCCGTTTACTGCTTGTCGCTATGTTGCGTGGTTCTCGAGATCTTAGGGGGGGGGGGGCAAAATGCCCCCCCCCCATCAGACTGCGTTGCTCGGCAGACTCCATCAGGGCGCGGGTTAACTTGTCGCGAGCCTCCCACATCAGCATTCAGCACGTTTTCCTTCCTTATCAGGAATGTTTCGTTTTACTTGTTTCCCCATTCTCTCTCGTCCAGGTTTTTCGTGGACCTGCGTCACGGCAGTCAGCTGTACCCGGAGCCGGAGGTGATTCTCCACTTCAACCCCCGGTTCCAGGTGAGGGCCGCCACTTTCACGAATACATGTCCTCGGTCCTCAGAGGACAGGATCTGAGGTCCTCAGGGGTCAGTATCTCTGTCCTCCTCAGACCCTCAGAGGACAGTAGTTGTGCCCTAAGCCGGTCCTCAGAGGTCAGCATCTCCGCACTCAGACCTTCAGAGGACAGTTTGTGTCTTCAGGTTCCCAAGGGACAGTCTCCCAACTGTCTTCTCAATCAGTGTTCGGTCGAGTGTTCAGTCCGACACTCCACCGTCTCTCAGGGTCAGTCCAGTCCAGCCTCTCACCGTCCCTCCCCGTATCAGTAGGACAGTATTCAGTAGAGTCCTGCCTCACACTGCCCCCCCCTCCCCCCTCCCCGACCGCAGGTGAACAACAACTTCGACATCATGGTGCTGAACACGAAGGCTGCCGGCTGGGGTCGCGAGCAGCGGCCGGAGGGGTTCCCGTTCCGAGCGGGGCGTCCGTTCCAGCTCAGGTGAGGTTGTTGTTGTTGTTCCCTCCACTTCAGTGAATGTAGCCTGTCGGCTCTGGGCGCCTCTGGCGGCCGCCGCCAGGGCCGCCACCACGGCGGTCTCCCGGACCTCCTCCGGTTCCGGGTGGATGTTCTTGTTCTCGTTCCCATCAGGGCGGGGCAGCGGAGGAGGACATGGTCCGGCTTGTCCGGCTCCTCTCGGCACAGGGGGCACCAGGACTCTCGACATTCGTCTCTGTTGCACCCCTGGCATCCGCCAGGGATCGGAGACGGTGAGCGTCCGATTCTGTGCAGGTAGGACCGGGCACCAGACCAGTGCCCGGCCCTCAGCTGGTGGACATCCACCGCGCTGGACCGCTCCATGCCGGTAACTCGGGGCGGTAGGCGGTCGCCCATCACGGGCCGGAACCACCCGGCTGGCCAGTTCTTGATGGTAGCCTCTCTGGCGGCTCTGGCTACTGCTCGGCAGATGGTCCTGGTGTCGACGGTGATGTCCTCCTGTGGTAGCTCCGCCGCTTCCTTTGCTATGGCGTCTGCCCGCTCATTGCCTTCGATCCCGCAGTGGGAAGGCACCCACTGGGCGTGAATCGGGCGGTGACCCTCCCGGGACAGACGCGAAAACGCCCGCCAGATCCTGACGCCTAGCGGTGACGTCTGCGCGGTTGGCCCCGCCCGGAGGGTAGCCAGGGAGGCCATACTGTCCGTGCAGATCACGATGGGGATGTCACGGTCTCGTGGGTTGTCGAGCAGGTGCTCAAGCCCGGACGCCAGGGCGAGCATCTCTGCTCGGTAGCTGGAGCAGTGTCGACCGGCCGGTGTCTTCAGGTCTTCCTCCTCCCCGTCCGACCAGATGACCACAGCTCAGAACCTCCGTCCTTGACGCCACCCTCCACGGAGCCGTCTGTCCACAACCAGGTTGCTCTCTGTGGCAGAGCGGCAAGATGACGGGTGGCAGCCCGTATCTTCTCTCCCTCTGTCGCACCGGTTCGTAGCGGCCCCACGTCCAGGCAGAATGTGACGTTTCCTCCGCGCTCCCACGGCGGGATGCAAGGAGGCAGCACCGGTTCGATTGGTGCGGTGACCTCCACCTCAGCCAGCATCTGGCGGCCCAGCGTTCGCCACCCCCGCACAGAAGACAGCCGCGAGGGCGCCGAGACCTCAGCTGTCCTGCGCAGGGGGTCGGTCGGCGGTAACGCCAGGGCACGGCCTAGTAGCCGAGCGGCGAGGACCTTCTTCCGTTCCTCCATAGGGGCCAGCCCCGCCTCCACCATCACCGCGTGTGTCGGCGTGGAGCGGGGGCATCCGGTGACGATCCGCGCGGCCGCCCTCATCTCGCGCTCAATGAGCTCGGCGTGAGATGGCGCAGCTGCTGGCAGCCATGCAGCGGCAACGTGCTCCAGAGCCCCCCGGACATATCCGTTGGCGACTGTTCGAAGAGCCTGTTCGTCCAGCCCCCAGCTACGGCCGGCTAGGCGTCTCAGGTGAGCGACGCGGGGGCGGACCCGTCTTCTCAGACGGCGGCAGTGTGCTCCGAACTGGAGTCGGCGGTCGATCTCGATGCCCAGGAGCACCAGTGAGTCGCCCGCCCGCACCCTCTTCCCTGACACCTTGATAGTGCACCCGACGGCGTCCTTGGCGTTCTGCAACAGCACTAGCAGCTGGGTTTTCTCTCCGGCCACCAGCATCTTGTTTCGGTGAGCCCAGGCGGCCAGAACGTCTGCCGCTGTCTGGGCGCGTTGTATCGCCGTCTCCAGAGTGCTTCCGGAGCTGAGCACAGCAGTATCGTCAGCGTATATGTACGGTGAGATACCAGGTGCGCGGAGAGCCTCGGCTAGTCCTGCCGCCCATAACAAAAACAACTGGGGGGACAGGACGCTTCCCTGAGGGAGGCCCGCGCGGAAGATCCGCTCCTTGGAGAGCGCACCCTGCACCTCAACCCGCACTCGACGGTCTCGTAGCCAGCTCCACACCCAGCGAACCAGGCACAGAGGGAGGCCCAGCTCGAGGAGGCGCAGCTTCAGAAGTTTGTGGTCCACCACGTCGTACGCTCGACTGAAGTCGTACGCGGTGAGGAGGTACTTCTGGGCTGTGCTGCCGTCCGGTCGCTCAGCACGCCTGTCATACTTGGGCCGCTGCCATCCATCCTGGACGTTCTGGACGAGCCGGCCAATGCTGTCTTCTGCAGACCGCTTGGCTCTGAAGCCCACCTGTTTATCAGGGACGAGGCCGCGACTCTCCGCCACGAACGCAAGCCGAGCTAGTATCAGTCGCTCGGCGAGCTTGGAGACGCTGCTTGTAAGCGCGATCGGGCGGTAACTCGTCAGCAGACGCTTGTCCTTAGAGGCCTTGGGGATCGGGACCACGGTGGCCGTGCGCCACTCCCGGGGGACTTCCCCGACTCTCCACGAGAGGTTAATCACGCGGAGGAGGGCTCTGCGCGCCACCGGACCGAGATGCTTGATCATCTCGTTGATGATCCCGTCTGGTCCTGGTGATTTCTTCAGTTGGAGAAGTTGGACCTCTCTGATCAGCTCCTCCTCGGAGAATGGCGAGCAGCACCCGGTGTGGTTGCCGTCACAGTCGGCGCAGCGACGCGGTCTGAGATCCGACAGTCGTTGTCGCGCGGCTCGGTCGATCTTCGGCGCCCTCACCTGGCGGGAGACGTGGGCGTACTGGGCGGCGAACGCATTGGCCTTCTCCTCGGCTGTTTCAAGCAACCGGTCTCCGATCCGCATCGCCTCGCCCTCTCGGTGGTCGTCGTCCAAGGCGCCCTCCCACTTCTTCAGGAGCCGGGAGACTCGGCCCACGCTGGTAGGTCGGTTCAGCTCGGTGGTAACGAAGTCCCGGAATTGTTCTCTGGTAACTCGCTTCTCCACTTGGCTGGCCCGGCGCTTAGCTTCGATCCAGCGAGTTCTCGATTGGGGGTCTCCCGGTTTCACGTTGTCTCTGGCTGCCCGGCGTTCCTGAGTCGCCAGCTGAAGGTCCGGGTGGAGAGCCCACGGTTTGGCGTCTCTTCTAGCTCCCCGGAGGATGAACTCCTTCGCGGCGTCCTAGACTGCTGCGGTGAATCGGGTGGCCAGAAGTTGAACCGTGGCCTGTGGGGGGGGGGGGGGGCGGGACGGAGAGGGCTGCCTCACATGCCCTCCCGAACTCGACCCAGTCGGCTTTGTGGTGGGCCCACCGCGTCTTCCTCTTAGCTCAGGTGAGGTCGGGGGACGTGCCGGTCCGGCTCAGGTGAGGTCGGGGACGTCCGTTCCAGCCCGGTCCGGCTCAGGTGAGGTCGGGGGACGTGCCGGTCCGGCTCAGGTGAGGTCGGGGGACGAGCCGGCCCGGCTCCTGGGAGGTGCTCGTCGACGGCGCACCGTTACTGCTCCCTGTCTGTCTCTCTGTCTCTGTCCTCCTCTGTGACCAGTGAGTCCCCTATTCCGCCAGGTTCGTGTGCCGGCCCGGCTCCTGGGAGGTGCTCGTCGACGGCGCTCTCCTCGTCAAGTACCCGCACCGGCTCTCCAAGGCCTCGCTGGACGCCATCGACGTGCGAGGAGACGTCGTCATCGAGTCGGTGTTCTTCCAGCCCAACTCGAAGGATCTCATCCAGTTCTAGGCACGTGGTGGGCGCCGGGAGACCTGGCCGGCCCGTCTACTGGCAGCCTGAGGTCGGCGAGGACAGATACCGGTAGCTTGAACTTTGAAGTCACTATACGTAATTCGCAAAGAGCAGCCGGTGATAGGGTTCAAAGAGCCTCTAATACACTCCATATTGATGTTTCCCTTCTTCTTGCGCTGTTAGAATCCCATGACAATCACCAGCAGTCCTTCAACCGGCAGTATCGCCCTTATTGGAGCGAAAAAGGCAATAACAGGTGCCAGTTGTAATCAGCGCCATTTCTAAGCATTCCTTCGGAACCGAATTATATTTATTATACGAAGTTAGGTAGCTGTAGTACGGTGTAATCACTGTGTTACAAGTTGATTATCGGCTTGAGCGGCGTGACATGTTGCTCGAGAGGCTAGGTGATATACGCTTAATCGGTGGCACTGATAGGGCAGCACAGACGAACAGGCACCCACGGCTGTCGGTGACGCTGCCAGCCTTGGACATGCCTATATGGTGCCAGATCCATTAATCGTGGTGCACTTAATTACTGTGTAATCAACTTAACATTGTTTTACCCCGGGGATTACTACGGCTTTTACCGCTGACTATGTGTTCAAAGAGGCTGAGCGCGCGCTGTGTCCCCACGGTACGTCCGAGCCGCGGCGCCTGCTCCAGTGTCCCGTGCCTTGGTTCGGCGCTGTCCGCCGGTACCCGCAGATAAGCAATAAGGCGCCATGTGCGTGTCGGTGGTTACCGCGGTGTGTAAGTGGCGAGAAAAGCCGCGGAGGTCGTGTATTGTGAACCTCGCTCGTTGTGTGGAAAACAGGTGTGCGTGTGTGCGCGTCTGTGTGTGTGTGTGTGTGGGGGGGGGGGGGGGGTCACGGACAGACTACCCCGAGTTTTGTCTCACAATCAAACGTATGCCTGTATCGTGTGTAGCTGGCATGTGGCGCTGTGGTCGTTCGACATCCGTCCGACTGATGGCCTCTCTGAGACGGCTACCCTCGCCTCGCGGGGCCGACACATAGCCCACGTGCCGGGCGTTAGCGCAGCTCAGATGGCCTTAACACGAATAAAGACAGAGGCGGACGCGTCCTTAGATGTCCTGCGACACCTCACAGTGTTCCGGCATCAGTCTGTAACAGTGGGCACGCATTGACATGGTTGTGCTGTGGCATTGGGTTCTGGGACGGCTGTTTATAAATATATACGGTAACCTACATTTTAACGGCTGCATATTTAACTTGTGGCGGTCATCCCGTCCATCGTATGTACAGTGGCGGCGGCCAGTCGCACCCAGTGCCCGCCGGCAGCGCGGCACCAAGGTCCGGCCGCCGGCGGTGTGTGCAGACTGCGAGCGAAGGACGCCGTCAGAGCACCAGGTGACCGCGTGTGTCTCCGTGCCGGGGCTATGTCGATCGGTGGCAGCCGTACGGCACACACTGACCCGGTCACCGCGCCGAGACTGGCACCACTCCGGGCCACAGACTGGGGACTGGCCAGGACACCGCTCCGGGCCACAGACTGGTAGCTGGCCAGGACACCGCTCCGGGCCACAGACTGGGTATTGGAGAGGACACCGCTCCGGGCCACAGACTGGGGACTGGAGAGGACACCGCTCCGGGTCACAGACTGGCCAGGACACCGGTCTGGACTGGACTGGGGACTGGCGGGGACACCGCTCCGGGCCACAGACTGGTAGCTGGCCAGGACACCGCTCCGGGTCACAGACTGGGGACTGGAGAGGACACCGCTCCGGGCCACAGACTGGAGACTGGCCAGGACAACGCTCCGGGCCACAGACTGGGGACTGGCCAGGACACCTCTCTGGGTCAGACTGGGTATTGGAGAGGACACCGCTCCGGGCCACAGACTGGAGACTGGCCAGGACAACGCTCCGGGCCACAGACTGGGGACTGGAGAGGACACCTCTCTGGGTCAGACTGGGGACTGGCTGACACCACTCCCGGCCACAGACTGGGGACTGGCTGACACCACTCCGGGCCACAGACTGGGGACTGGCTGACACCGCTCCGGGCCACAGACTGGGTATTGGAGAGGACACCGCTCCGGGCCACAGACTAGGTATTGGCGAGGACACCGCTCCGGGACACAGACTGGGTATTGGAGAGGACACCGCTCCGGGTCACAGACTGGGGACTGGCCAGGACACCGCTCCGGGCCACAGACTGGGTATTGGCTGACACCGCTCCGTGTCCCAGACTGGGGACTGGCCGCTCCGGGCCACAGACTGGGGACTGGAGAGGACACCGCTCCGGGCCACAGACTGGGTATTGGAGAGGACACCGCTCCGGGCCACAGACTGGGTATTGGAGAGGACACCGCTCCGGGCCACAGACTGGGTATTGGAGAGGACACCGCTCCGGGCCACAGACTGGAGACTGGATGATACCGCTCCGGGCCACAGACTGGGGACTGGCGAGGACACCGCTCCGGGCCACAGACTGGGGACTGGCGGGGACACCGCTCCGGGCCACAGACTGGGGACTGGCGAGTACACCGCTCCGGGCCACAGACTGGGGACTGGCGAGGACACCGCTCCGGGCCACAGACTGGGTATTGGAGAGGACACCGCTCCGGGCCACAGACTGGGTATTGGAGAGGACACCGCTCCGGGCCACAGACTGGGTATTGGAGAGGACACCGCTCCGGGCCACAGAGACTGGGTATTGGAGAGGACACCGCTCCGGGCCACAGACTGGAGACTGGATGATACCGCTCCGGGCCACAGACTGGGGACTGGCGAGGACACCGCTCCGGGCCACAGACTGGGGACTGGCGGGGACACCGCTCCGGGCCACAGACTGGGGACTGGCGAGGACACCGCTCCGGGCCACAGAGACTGGGTATTGGATAGGACACCGCTCTGGGCCACAGACTGGGGACATACACCGTCCTCGACATGTCGGGGGGTTTCAGATAGTCGAATTATAGTATCCACTGCTCTCCTACCCGCGATCAGGCACCAAGACTGGTTTCATATAGCCATCAAACCCGTAGTTATAACCACTCACGCATTTTATTATAAGTCGCTAGCACTACAAATATGCCGAAGCCTCCAGTATATGTAGCATAGAACAAAGTTGTAACTATAAGCAAAGTTGAATATTAGAAACCATATGAAAAATAAATATCTCCTAAAATAACTTTGAGCCCCGAATGCAGATGAGCTTGCATTGCCACCAAAACTACGGCTAATTATTGTCAACATTGCATTCGACAGTGGGCTAAAACACGTTCAGCACATAATATCAAATTTTGAGTACATACACTATATCTGGCTCAGGACAACTGACCTCTCATTTTCAAAATAGCACGTCAGATATTGTCACACACGGCGCACTGCTGACCTGAGACCCGACGTCCGCCCCTCAATGCTACGCACGCCCCGCACCGCTCGGCACACACACGCACACGGCAAAGGCAGCAGGTGACCGAGCGGCCGGCGCCGGCAGTGACGGCGCGGCTATCGGCCGGTCCCCCGGCCTACTCGCGCGGCTCGTGCGGCGCCGGCAGCTTCTCCATGCTCGGCTCCACGCCCCAGATCTCACGCGCGTACTCGGCGATGGTGCGGTCGCTGGAGAACTTGCCCGACGAGGCGATGTTCATGATGGCCTTGCGTGCCCAGGCGTCCTGGTTCTGTGGACGCGGCGGGCGGGACGGGGTCGGTCAGAGGCGACACGTGGGCCGGACGGCGGACCCGCTCGCCGGGTCCGAGACACGGAGATACGGCGGCCGGCGGTACTACCGACCGCGGCACCCGGTGGTCCGCCCGCGCGGCCCACAGCCGCCGGCGGACCGCGGCCGGCGGGCGCGTCCTTGGAATACATGCTCTGAGGCACGTGTCCTAATACTACCTACCCTTTATCAAACGTGCATTCATTTCAGCAAGGACTCATTATTAGTGAACAATAAACAAAAGGAGATACATGAGATGTCCTCGTCAGAAATAAATAACTCTACGGAATATTTGGCTGGTTATTTTAGGGAAATAGCCACTGCATGACAATAAAGTATCCAACAAAAGTTAGACATTTTTGTCAACCAGTGACACACCAATAGGCTCGATATATTCACTATGTGTAGAACTAAGGCGAAATGATACAACTAAGGAAGTTGATATGATGAAATCGTCTACGTAAACGGTAAAACTAAGCACAGCCGGCGCCTTGAGTCGCGGTCGGCGACCGCCACTCACCATGTAGAGCTTGCTGACTTCGTCCTGGCAGCGGATGTAGGACTCGTAGTCGGCGAACAGCAGGAAGCGGTCGTGGTTCATCAGCATGTCCACAACGTCCTTGAACTGGTTGACGTCGTGCGGCGAGAAGTAGCCGCTGCTGATCATGTCGATGCACTGGCGCAGCTCGGGCAGCTTGTTGTAGTACTCGTGGGCGTTGTAGCCGCGCGCCTTCAGAGCCTCCACCTCGTCCACGTTCATGCCTGCCGGCGGGGCGGGGCGGGGGACAGGGCGAGGTTTACCGGTCACTGGCGGGGCGGGCCGGGGGGACAGGGCGAGGTTTACCGGTCACTGTCGGTACGCCGGCGGGGCGGGCCGGGGGGACAGGGCGAGGTTCATCTGTCACTGGCGGTCCGACGGCGGGGCGGGGGTCAGGGCGAGGTTCATCTGTCACTGGCGGTCTGACGGCGACTCGGCTGGCAGACGAATGGTGTGTGACAGGGAGGGCAATGGGGAGACTGAGAAGGAATGAGAGGGAGAGACAAAGGAGTGACGGGGACAAAAACAGGGGAGCGTGCTGTTGCAATATAAGGAGCACGTCCTAAACGAGCAGAATAAAACGTCACCTTTTGAAAAAAGGTTGTGAGTTGTGATACTAGGACATCCCCGTATGATAGCTCCATTTTTTAGTCATTTTCGAGCCATCCCAGCCCCAGCACCCATCGAAGATATCCAAATACTCCTCGTCACCCAAAGCCATCCCTTCGGCGGTCGGCGGGGCGCCAAACCTACAGATGATGTCCAAACATCCTGTGTCACCCGAGCCCACCCCTCGGCGGTCGGCGGCGCTGTGTCACCCACCGAAGATGAAGATGTTCTCCTCGCCCATTTCCTCCCGCATCTCGATGTTGGCGCCGTCCAGCGTGCCGATGGTGAGCGCGCCGTTCAGCATGAACTTCATGTTGCCCGTGCCGGACGCCTCCGTGCCGGCCGTGGAAATTTGCTCGCTCAGGTCTGCAGCCGGGATGATCCGCTCGGCCAGCGTGACGCGGTAGTTCTCCAGGTAGATCACCTGTAGGACGGATAGCGGGAGAGGGAGTTACACTCACAGAAGTACCGCACGGCGCCGCACGCGCACACGTGGATACAAACGGACGGACAAAAAGTCGCCTCACAGGCCCGCTCTAGTCACACAATAACATGCTTCCAAACGTTATACTCATCGACAGATCTTCACGACCGACCGAAATGTCGTGTCTGACGATCGCAGGCAGGCTTCGTCCAGTCCCGCGGCACCCAGACCCCGCTGGTTACCTTGAGTTTGTTGCCGACGACAGGGTCGTTGTTGACGATGTTTCCTACGGCCAGGATGAGCCGGATGATCTGTTTGGCCATGTGGTAGCCGGGCGCCGCCTTGCCGCCCACCATCACCGTGCGCGGCACGAACGGCGCCGACGGGTCCTTCTTGATACGGTTGTACATGGTGATGACGTGCAGGCAGTTGAGCAGCTGCCGCTTGTACTCGTGGATCCGCTTCACCTGTGGCAGAGGCGGGGGGAGATGTCTGGTCAGACCCTGATACCAAACTGCGCCGGGTAAACGACCAGAGCTCATCGAGCCATCAACGGGAGAGGACTAACGTCTGTCACGAGTAACCCAAGAGCTCCTTTTCATGCCCACGTTCCCGTACCTGAGTACGCATCAGTCAAAACACCATCAGTTCAGCACGCAGCACACGGTATGTGTCTGTGACTTACTGCCCGGTTGATGCGTTGCAGCGGGTAGTGATCTATCAGCATAGACCACTATTCCACGCCAAGCACGCCCTCTACACACGCAGACAGATACACATTACACACAGTGGCACACGGCCCCCGCGGCGCCGCACCTCCCCGTGCCCTCCCGCCGCCCTGTCGCGCTCCCCACCCCCGTCCCTCTGACCCGCCCCCGCGCCTTACGTGGATGTCGAACATGGAGGCGGGGTTGACCTCGATCTCGTACTGCTTGGTGAGCATCTGCGCCACGCGCATCTTGTTCTCCTGTTTGACCTTCTGGACGGTGCGCACAAAGTTGGCGTCGGACACCAGCGGCTTCAGCTTCGCCAGCTCGTCCAGGTGGGTGATCCACTCCTCGCCGATTTTCTGCGCGCACACAGCGGTCACCACTGTCAGGGCAGGCAGGAACGGCGGGGGAACGCAGTCAGAGTCAGAGGTCACCACTGTCAGCACATCCGCAAACAGTGGGTGAAATCAGGCCGGTCATATCCGGGAACTGTGATTCTGAGTTCTGACCACCAGTCACGGACGGAGGGCGCAATAACCAGGGGCGGGACGGGCGTCTGCCGCCCCCCCCCCCCCGCGTTCTGCAGGACGACAGCAGACAGACAGGCGCGCCAGGTTACCGAGCAGCAGCTACAAATCGCTACGGTACAATTATAACAGACGACAGCGTCGGACATACCTCGGCAATGGCGTCCGACAGACCCGGGTTACAGAGCAGCAGATACACACCGCTACCAGTACGGCAATTATAACAGACGGCCGGACTGGACATACCTCGGCGATGGCGTCCGAGAGGCCCGGGTTACACAGCAGCAGATACACACCGCTACCAGTACGGCAATTATAACAGACGGCCGGGCCGGACTGGACATACCTCGGCGATGGCGTCCGAGAGACCCGGGTTACACAGCAGCAGATACACACCGCTACTAGTACGGCAATTATAACAGACGGCCGTACCGGACCCACCTCGGCAATGGCGTCCGAGAGGCCCGGGTAACACAGCAGCAGATACACACCGCTACCAGTACGGCTATTATAACAGACGGCCGGACTGGACATACCTCGGCAATGGCGTCCGAGAGGCCCGGGTTGCACAGCAGCAGCCAGCGGCGCGGCGTGATGCCGTTCGTCTTGTTCTGGAACTTCTCCGGCCACATGTCGAAAAAGTCCTTGAAGCTGAGGACAAACGGCTGCCATTAGAAATTGAGGTGGGTTTCAGGTACGCACTTACAGTCACCCCTAGAGCTACAATTAACAGCATCAGAGACAGGGCAATGGCTATACGTCTGTGCCGATCCCTTTTTACAAACACAGTATCTAACTCACCGACACAGTGACATCCCGCGAGCTCCCTAAAAAGCTAGCATGGTACGTTTTACAAAGGGTTACCCATCCCTACGAAATCCCTCCACAATAACACTGTGAGAGGCGAGCTCCAGCCTTCCAGGCTTGAGAGCCTGCCTCCGCCTATGGCGGCCGCCGTCACGTGACCTGCACCTCGGAGGTCGCGGGGCGCCGCCCGCTGGCGGCCAGTCTTTGCTCGGTGAGTGACGCGCGCGGATCTCACAACACCTTTAACCAGGTCAGTTTCATTCCGTGTCGCCCTCTGACGCCAATTCCTCCTACCTTCCCACCCGTTGCTCACATGCCACTAATCTCCCCTCCCGGCCCGCAGCGCTCACATGTCTCGTTTGATGATCTCCGAGTGGAGCGCGGCCACTCCGTTGACGGCGTGCGAGCCGACGATGGCCAGGTGGGCCATGTTGACGCGCTTCTCGCCATCCTCCTCGACGAGCGACATGCGCCGCAGCCGCTCCAGGTCGCCCGGGAACCGGTGGTTCACCTGCGGAGCGGCGCCGCCGGCGGGACAGGCGCGGTCAGAGGGGCACCGTGACCGTGGGATGGGGGGTATCCATCCAGCAATAAATCTAGCTACGAATGGGACTGAGTAGTCAAATTGCAGACAATAGGTAACAAAACATAAGTAACCGAATAATCGCGTAGATTCCATGAGCGCTTAAGTTTCACACATATCCTACCACTTTGAACAAATTGTTCAATAAAGACACGGAATCTTTTTGACGTGCGAGTCACGAAAAACATCAACACCGTAATAGAAGATGCATTAAAAAGAAATAAAAAAGCTTCTTTGCTGATTTAGAGTCCCATCAAAATAATTACTTTACCTTTTGGATACTTATCTATTTTGCTTGTCATAGCGCCAGTCATTTACAATTATCCCCGATTGAACATAGTAATATCGGCGCACATACCGCCCCGCGTGTCCCCTAGCCGCCGTTCCGCCTCACCTTGTCGAGGAACTTCCAGTTGATGTCGTAGATGATCTCCAGGTGTCTGGGCAGCATGTTGCCCAGCATGCTGACCGGCCAGCGCTCCAGCGCCTCCGGTAGCACCGTGTGGTTGGTGTAGGCGCACGTGCGCGTCACTATGTCCCACGCCTGCCCACAGACAGTCGGTCAGACTGCAGCGCCGCGGGGAGACTCCGGACACGGAGCCCGGGAGGTGCTTCACGGATTTAACACACTCAGATGGCACCACCATAATTGGCCAGTAAGAGGGCACTGGCGCTAAAGTTGCCATGTGAGATGGGAGGGTCGGGTTCCCTTTCGGACTAGTTGGGCTCATCCGAGTGGACCGCAGTGCTCTCCCACTCAGTGCGCTCCCAGCGTTCTACTCAACTGTCAATGTCTTCAGACAATAGACACATACTACCTAAAACCTAGCGATATGCGAGAGTTACTGCTACATTCTAGTTTCTCAATGCCTTGTCGAAACCCACAAATGACTGCAGTTCTTGAGAAGCCCTAAAAGCCGTTTATTCCCAACTGACCGTGTCCCAGGCCAGTTAACCCGCGCGGGGCTGGGGTGCAAGTTTCTACAGTATCGGCCTTGCACCGTAGTTGCCGAAGAATGGACTGAGACTGATTGCCCAAAACGTGTTCTTAGGCTACCAAGACAATATTCGCTGCATACAATATCATTCAGAGGTCAAGGTCAAGGTCAGGTCAGGTCAGGTCAGGTCACCAAAAACAAAATATAGAAAAGGGCATGTGCGACACATGCTTTATGGGTCATTTTATTCATACAATTCAATGGGCACACTCAATAGGTGATATGGACCACATCTGGATGAATTTTAGGTCGAGGTCAGGTCAAGGTCAGGTCAAGTGAGGTCAAATTTTGAAGTTGGTTGTTAAGGCCTAAAAAGGTGTCTATCTGATGCAGTTTTTCACGGCGAATCGAATGGTGCTATTTTTGTTTCCGTAAGAGGTCTAGAACTTCCAAAAAATTCATTTTTCAAAATTTTTGTGTGTCGTGACGTCATGAAATTTTTAATAACTCCCACATTTTTGAACCGATTCTTCTAAAAATTGGTATGTAGGTGCACATAGACCACATCTCTGACATATATTCAGGTTTTTTTCGATACACTCAAAATTTTTGATTTTATAATTTTTTTCCCAAAAAAGTCAGTTTTTTAAAAAAAAGTTTGGCCAAAATCAAAAATTTTCAAAAAACCGAGATAGCCATTTGATAGACAAAGTAGAATTACGTATAACCTTTTTTGTTACGTCTTGATTCCTTTAAAAATGAAGATGTTAGCGGCGTTTGAACTTTTGCCGTTTTTGAGGCGAAAATGGCGAACATGACGTCACTAAAACGTCAATTTCTCAAAAATTTTCCAACGGATTTCGCTCAAATTTTCAGGGAACGTGTCAACTTGATGTAAGAAAAGGTACTGAAAGTTTGGCGGCGCCACGCGCCGCCGTTTTTGAGTTATCGCAAAAATTCGCGAGGGTGGGTAAAATTTACCCCCCAGCCCCGCGCGGGTTAACAGACTCCCAAATCCCAGCCGTCACTGACCGTGTCCCAGGACAGTGAACAGACTCCCAAATCCCAGCCGTCACTGACCGTGTCCCAGGGCAGTTAACAGACTCCCAAAGCCCAGCCGTCACTGACCGTGTCCCAGGGCAGTTAACAGACTCCCAAAGCCCAGCCGTCACTGACCGTGTCCCAGGGCAGTTAACAGACTCCCAAAGCCCAGCCGTCACTGACCGTGTCCCAGGACAGTGAACAGACTCCCAAATCCCAGCCGTCACTGACCGTGTCCCAGGGCAGTGAACAGACTCCCAAAGCCCAGCCGTCACTGACCGTGTCCCAGGACAGTGAACAGACTCCCAAAGCCCAGCCGTCACTGACCGTGTCCCAGGACAGTGAACAGACTCCCAAATCCCAGCCGTCACTGACCGTGTCCCAGGACAGTGAACAGACTCCCAAATCCCAGCCGTCACTGACCGTGTCCCAGGGCAGTTAACAGACTCCCAAATCCCAGCCGTCACTGACCGTGTCCCAGGGCAGTTAACAGACACCCAAATCCCAGCCGTCACTGACCGTGTCCCAGGGCAGTGAACAGACTCCCAAATCCCAGCCGTCACTGACCGTGTCCCAGGACAGTGAACAGACTCCCAAATCCCAGCCGTCACTGACCGTGTCCCAGGACAGTTAACAGACTCCCAAAGCCCAGCCGTCACTGACCGTGTCCCAGGGCAGTTAACAGACTCCCAAAGCCCAGCCGTCACTGACCGTGTCCCAGGACAGTGAACAGACTCCCAAAGCCCAGCCGTCACTGACCGTGTCCCAGGACAGTGAACAGACTCCCAAATCCCAGCCGTCACTGACCGTGTCCCAGGGCAGTTTCTCGATGTCCAGGAAGACGCGCATCAGCTCGGCGATGGCCAGCGACGGGTGCGTGTCGTTCAGCTGGATGGCCACCTTGTTCGGGAACTCCTCGAACGTGGTCCGCTTCGGACCGTTGCGCGCAGACTTGAACCGGCGCATGATGTCCTGCGCGGGGCAGACAGCGGCCAGCGTCAGCGGGGAAGGGGCAGACAGACGACAGACAAACGTATAACTACCGGCACTGCCACAATAAGATCCACACTTAAACGGGACATAGGTCAACCAACCAGTTACTTTGCTCTTGACCAGGTGACAGATTCGCCTAGTATTTGGACATTCGCCCCATTCACTTCACACCATCCAGGCCATGCACATCCAGTTCACCATCCCTCGACACCGCATCCCATCCCCCTAGGACCGGCCTGGCCCGCTAGACGACTGCTGACCTGGACCGAGGCGGACACCATGAAGTACTGCTGCTTCAGACGCAGCTCCTTGCCCTCGAAGAAGTTGTCGTTGGGGTAGAGCACGCGTGAGATGTTCTCGGCCAGGTTACGGTCCAACACCGCCTGGATGTAGTCGCCGTTGTTGACTGCAGAACAGACAGACAGGGTTGGAAGATTAGGCCAGGGAAACACGAGTGACGGCCTGTCATCAAATAGCTAACGAACTCAACCACAACCATGATTCAGTTACCGTGACGGAAACACTTTACTCGTAAAGCCAGCGATAGTGGGGCCAATAACACAACCTCGGCACACCACACAACTATCAAAGCCTCAAGATAACCCGTCCATTCGCGCCGAGTGCGCGTCCGGCAGCGCTCTGGTGTGTCGCCGGGTCAGACTCACAGAACTGGAGGTTGAAGCTGGACGGCGACATGGCCGACCAGAGGCGCAGCGTGTTCACCACGTTATTGGCGTAGCCCGGGATGGGCGTGTCGTACGGCATGGCAAACACCACCTGGCCAGGGGCGCAGAACGGGCGGTCAGGGGGCACGGACGGCGCGAGCAGGACTGGCACACACTGGGTGGTCAGGGGTGCACAGTTCGGGCGGGTAGGGGACAGATACTGAGCGGGCAGGACTGGGGCAGACGGGGCGGTTAGGAGGCACAGACTGGGAGAACGTCGAACACAAAGTGGGCGGTCAGGGAGCATCGAGGGCAAAGGCGAAGATGGGATCACGGACGTATCGACAATAATCACCAGCTATCTCAGCGTCAAGACAGTAAACGGCACGCCAGTTAGCAGCAAACGCAACGGCTAACGACGCATCGTCATCGTTTTATGAGAATGCTCGCGTAGACGTCATCAGTATGAACAACACTCAGCAACACAAGACGGGAGAGCTCTGAAAATGGTACCACCAAATCAATGACTGCCGAACGAAGGAAAGGACCCTCTCACAACCATATCAAGCCCCTTCTGAGGATAATCCCGATGCATAGACGCAGCACCCCTAAATCACATTACGGTTCACGCCAACAGAGCGTAACCCCGATCGACACACCGCTCGGGACCAACGTGGCCCGTCCCGTTATTGTTGGCTCGAGTTTAGAGGCGCGTCGACAGTGGGGCCAGTGAACATACGCCCAGAACCTCGCCATTTACTCGCGGGTGGACCCAGTTGCCGCCGTCCACCCGGCCGTACACTGTACAGGACCCCGCTGGACAGTCTGTCCCCCCCCCCTCACCTGCGGGTGGACCCAGTTGCCGCCGTCCACCCGGCCGTACATGCAGACGGGCAGCACGTACTCGGGCCGCGCCGTCTCCCACGGGTTTCCGAAGCGCAGCCAGTCGTCCGGCTCCTCCGTCTGCGGGCGGAGCGAGGGTATAGGGAGGTCACTCCAGGGGTACAGTCGTCGGCACAGCGGTGTCCACTGTCTAGTACACAAACGGTCACTATGAGGGACGTATTTACACCGTACACCTTAGCCAATGTCCTCTCAGGGGTGCTGAAATGCCATAACCATCCCCCCGGCAGCAATAACTCAACCGCCCAGACACTGTCAGTCCCGCAGTGCTGACACGGCTTCTGTTCCCTTATCAATGTTGACCTGGCTACCGCGTCCCCCGAGAGAATACCGACTCCCTGACCCATCCAGTCCGTGTAACAGTTCGTCTACACCTCACAAAGTTCGTCTGCAGCGCCAGCGCACACCAAGTCACCATTCTCTAGCATGTATTAGTGTCAGCCGAGCCCACCTCCAGTTCATCTCACAGTCTATCCCCAGTCCATCCCCCAGTCCGTCTCCCAGTCCATCCTTAGTCCGTCTCCCAACCCATCCACACTCTATCCCCAGTCCATCCTTAGTCCATCTCCCAGTCGATCCCCAGTGTCAGCCGCGCTCACCTGGCCGCCGTTCTTGATGCGCTGCGCGAAGATGCCGTACTCGTAGCGGATGCCGTAGCCGTAGGCGGCCAGTCCGATGGTGGCCATCGAGTCGAGGAAGCAGGCGGCCAGCCGGCCCAGTCCGCCGTTACCCAGGCCGGCGTCCTCCTCAATGTCCTGCAGCTCCTCAATGTCCAGACCCACCTGACGACGGGACGGGACGGGGCGAGGTCAGCAGGGAGGGACAGCGGGGCGGCAGTGTCCAGAGTCCAGACCCACCTGGCGACGGGACGGGGGGCGGGGGTCAGCAGAGAGGGTCACAGCAGCAGGTGTGAGTGACCGGTCACACTAGCAGGTGGAACGGGGGACTATTCAGGGAAGAAAGGGGGAATGCGTGGCCAGGGGCGACACGCATTATCATATACCATCATAAACAGCATGACGCATCTTGAATGAATGTTGCTCCTTTGCTCATGCATGAATACACATTTCTACTTGCTTCATTGTTAACGGTGTTAAATCGATCGTTACCCTCTGCATTCTGCAATGTCGTTCCATATAGGTGACTCGGCCGATCTGTGAATGGGATTTCTTAGACGTTCTTGAAAAAGAACTTGTTTGGTGTCGTATAATGTAAAATACATTCCAATACGTACAGTCTTCAAAGTACCAGCAGCAGTGCGGGGGATCCATCAAGCCCGACCATGGAAGGACTGCTAAATTTGAGTCACCGAAGCAATAGACATCCTCGTCCATTCCCAGGTCAATGGGTTCGGTGACTTTCAAATTATTGCAGGCCCTTCCTCGGTCAGGCTTGATGGATCCACCGGTACTTTGCGCGGCACTTCAAGATTGACTGTACTCCTGACTGTGGAAGATTGTGTTGTTTTTCTCTAAACCACATAGATAGCACGGACTTCTCCTGCCAGCCAGGGTGAAAGGGCCCCAGCCTTACTATCGCAAAGAACTGCCCGAGGTCCATTGGCTCAACACTAACAAAACGGACCCGACTGGACTGTCCAAACACCGCATGGCGACTCAGCGCACGCTTCTTACCGAATACCGACTCAGCCCGGTAAACAAACCCATCCCATCTGGTAACGCACCCCGCGGTGGCGCACTGCCGTCAGTGGTCGCGACAGGCAGCAGCCCGGGACGGGGGCGGGCTGATCAGCCGCGGCGACCCAGAGACGACCGCGGCGTGGCAGCCGACAGAAAAAATGCGAGATAGGTAGAGTAGGTCTACAAAATAAGTCCCGCCGTATGCGGGTCACCAGTGGTGGGCAGTTAGCGCCTGAGCGCTACTCGGGCGCCACCTGCCCGCATACGGAGAGGGCTTACTTTGTAGGCCTACTGTACACCTAACACTTTGCATATTGTGTTTTTTTGTGAAAGTGGAAAAGCCTTAAGGAACAAATTTAGGGGGAAATGAAAAAAAAAACACCGCAAGTGAGCAGTAACGCCCGAGGCCATGCTAACAATTCAAAAAGTACGAAAACCATGGCACTGGTATTTGTCAACAAACCTGAAAGTAAGGATTTCGTAATCAAGTTTCGTAGGCAAAATGCGTTACGAAAAAAAAAGATATAGAGGGGCGGGAATAATTCTCTCAGTTGGGGGAAAACCATGTTTTGAACATCTACCAAAGAACCTCAGCGATCGATATGCACAAGAATGGAAAAAATGATACGTTTGCCTTGGGTAATCATCACCCAAAGCAATGGCAGCTCAATTATCCTGACCGTCCAAATAGGTGAAAGTGTGGGACGATCAGTGCGTCCCTGACCGCGCCTGTGGTTTCGTGCGTGTGTGCGTACGCCACACACGTTGCCCAATCCCTATGTAGGTATATGGCGGCTCCGGCTGGCTTCATGAAGCCTCCCTCACACCGTGGCATTGAGGACACGGGACGACCCCCGGCCGCGGGATAGGGCTGCCGGGACCAGAGGCCACAGACGGCTTGCTGGAGCGACCGGCAACATAAAGCACCTGCAGCAGTATGACGTGACGACAGGCTACGCAAGGCGGCAGCACTCTTTGGAACGATGCGTCGACCAGCTACCAAAAGCGACTCTAACTGCACAAACAATAAACGGTGCGTGCGTCCACCAGCTCCCTTGGCGGCTGAACTACTGGAGCTGTGGTTTGTCTGCGAACAACAAGTCGTCAGTGACGGCTGCGGTGGGCAGCAGCTCCATGACACCTGAAGCCACTCGAACGAACGGTCCGTCCAATAGCTGCAACGAGCGGTCCGTCCAAAAGCTGCAACGGCTTATGATTGGTGAGACTGTAGAAAGCAGCAGAACGGACAGAGCTGCTGAGCCGCTGCACCGTGTTTTAACGCTGGCCAAAAACTGGCCAGGACGTGAAATATCGACTATTTTTAAACGTATTCATTTGGCCACTATCGTGTTCAGAAATGATCAGAGCATCTTTAACGACGGAAACTTTTATTCTCTTTACTTTTGAAAACGTTGAAAATGTACAACAAAGTCAGACAACTTTCAAAAGCTAAACTTCGGAAAACAAACGCAGAAACAGTCACCTTGCTTCACGTCAACATCTTGGAGCTTTGGATTGACAAAACTATATAATTTGGGTACCAAACGATAGCGCGAACTTTTGGCTTTGTAATGAGTCATAATTTATGCAATTATAATGCACATAGGTGTTACATTTATTGATTTCCGTCAGCCCTTACATTGACACACTTTTTTGAAAAAATGTCAATGTTCTTATAGAGCTACAAAAAATTGTACGCTAGTGTACGGTCTCAGACTACCACCACACTGTGGGTCAAGGAGTTGTCTACATGTCCTCAAAATTTCAGCTGCGCCTGAGTGCGCCGGTGCTGGGGGTGAACACTTTTTTGAATGAGTCATGGCTGCTCCTGCTGAGCCATGGGACGGGCCCTAGCGTGCGTTAAGGGAAAATGCTAGTACTCCTGGTTCATTCTCTCGTCTGTTGTGACGAGTTGGTGGCCCATGGAAGGTCGCCGACCTGTGTGCGACCTGCCGTACCCTGGGGCGTAATCAGCTGACGGCACGACCCCCACGACACGTGCCAGTTGCATTTTCATGTGTCGCGAGAAGAAAACAAAGGGTCTCCGGAACCAGAGACCGGACAATGTCGGTGAATGACAGTTGTTCATTCAAAAACTGTAGCATTCCTATGAAATATACATTTCTTAAATATCAACATCATTATCGGTGTAATTAATTATGTATAGTACCTGGTCTATAACAGGAAATTTCCACCCCATGGCTATTGCAGCAAATTCATAGTTTTAAACATATTTTAATACCTGATGGAGCGCAATTAAATATTCATTGTGCCCACTGCCCAGTTTGCGATGGGACTGTGAACTGAAAGGTGACTGTATGAGACATGCCACAGCACGCATCGCTGATCACGATGATCGGCTTTTGATCGTCCATCACCTGTTTGCGTTCGGCAGGGTTATCATCGGCCTCTTCAGTCAGTATTAATACGTTCAATGTAGGTGGTATGGTATCATTAGTGCTGTCCACCTTTATGAAAAAGTATCCGTTTGTTGCAGTAAGCGTCAGTTAGTATGGCAATGAAGTGCTTTTACGTGCACGTTGCATGGTACATAACGCACCATACAGTAGGAATTGGTAAGAAGTTTTGGGATACATTCTACCATTTCACGACATGCATTGGAGGATCCAGTGAAGGGCATAGTGGGTATTTGCCCTCCCCATAGCTGAATCGTGTGGGAAAAACTATCCTTTTGCCGCTCCCAAAGCTTTGGTGATGATAAATGCCTATAATACGGCGTCGATGCCTATCTGGACGAAAAGCAGGTCTTTCCGTCACAACCATTCTAAGCGATGGAGCTGACCGCTCGCTGCTTATTATTTAGGTCGGTATGCTGATAACAGATGGAACTCCCTGAGCTGCACGCATGCATATTGCAGACGTAGTGAAGCGTTGTAAAGTCACCGGCGCGGGGGTGGGTCGGGGTCACCGAATGGGTCGGAAACTTTTGCCCTCTCCAAACGGATTAGCATTAGCTGGATCCGCTCGTGAGTCATGTGACGTAAAAGATACAAGACTCTGGACTTACTTAAGTGGAGACCGGGTTAACATCAAGTTGATATAAAAATATACGTTTAAAAATGTTTTTGAAATAAATATAAAGATTGTAGGTCCTATATGAATAAGTCCTATACCTATAAGAGCATTCAAGGTCACATGGGATCATCAACGCTTATTAACAAGGTCATGTCCTCAAACTTGACTTGCCTCGTCGATGAGCCTTGCTCAGACTTGCGATTACTCTAAATTTACAAATACCTAAATGTGCGTGCATTCATAGCTAGAACATGACAATATTTTTCATATATTTCGTGACACTTGTGACGTCATAAACAAGTACATAAGCATCTGGTCCGACACATTTTGCACTCTAAATGATCGTTAGTCACCAACGTTTCGTTTGAGCCCAAAAACACGTTTGTATCTCATATAGTTCCTGAGTTACGAGCCCTGGCCAGTTTTGGTCCTGAGTTAAAACATAGTGCGCTGCCTGGGACGGGCTGGCGGTGACCGCCGTGCTTTCGCCCGCTGGACGCCACATTACCTCCCATAATAACGGGGCAGTGCAGCGCGGCGGCTGATAAGCCGAGCTGAGCTGGCCACGTATGAGGGACAATTCACAGAAGGCAAATAGTCAGCAGCACTGACCATATGCAGTGCAGATATCTGTCAATGAAAAAGACAAAGTGCTTCGGTACATAACTTAAAAGAAAATGTAAACTTAACATTATTAAAAAAAAAATGTATTCGTCCGTCAAGTCTGCATCAAGTCTGCTAGGCTAGTAAGAGCCCCCCGAGCTCTGCTGAATCGCGTGACAAGGTGTGGGCCGAGGCGCGGGCCCCCGGGCCGGGCTGCGGCGGCCGTCGGAGCAGGCCTGGCGCCGGGCCGGGCCGGGTCAGCACAGTCAGCTGATGCGTCGGCGGCGCGCCCACCGGCCGGGAAAGTGACCGTGGACGGGCCGCAGTGATAGTGACGGCCGCCGCCCCCGGCCCGGCCGTGATTGCTGGCCCTGCTGCGGCCGGGGGCAGGGTACTTCATACTGCCGGGGGCGGGACGGCCGCGGACCGAGCGATGGTCCCACGCCACCCTATCCTTAACGTCCCACTGTCGGCCACTGTCAGAGCCACAACCGGCCTCCCTCCCCATGGGCCAGTCGTCAGCGGCAGCGACTGCCAACCCTTCTTCGTGAGCCGGGTGCCGCTGTGTATGCGCCGGGTGCCACCGGATCGTTCTACTATGGACGTCAAACCGCTTGAGGCCCCACTTTTTTGCGATTATTTTAAAATGCGTCAACTCTCGTTGACAATATTCTGGCAATGTGTGTTTCAGAACCTGCCGAAACTTTTATTACTAAGGTATTTTGACGCCAAACGATTATGAAAGGTACTTCTCATTCACTCGTAATGTTAAATTTCACGGAACGAATCTGCTGTTTGGGTAGAGGCTACGCGCTCATGGGGCGGAGCCACGTAATGACGTCAGCGCTAAGCTCCGCCCTACCCCTCCGGCGCTCCTTGCCCGGCGACCGGTCACTCGCGTCCCTCGCTCCATTCAGGCTTGATGGTGGGCGGTAGCTGGTAGCGGTAGCGGGCGCTGGTAGATGGCATTTAGAGCAGATGGCGCTGGTGGCGGGGCTCGAGTGTGGCCGAGCGCAAGCCTCTGCCCGGGCCTGAATTGACCTTAGCATTACGAGTGAATGAGAAGTACCTTCCATAATCGTTTGGCGTCAAAATACCTTAGTAATAAAAGTTTCGGCAGGTTCTGAAACATACATTGCCAGAATTTTGTCAACGAAAGTTGACGCATTTAAAAATTATCGCAAAAAAGTGGGGTCTCAAGGGGTTTGACGTTCATAGTAGTAGGGAGTCTCGCGCAGTGACCTGGCAGAGAGCCCACCCACTGACCTGGAAGGGGCCCTGTCACAGGCGCTCTGCACTTCCGTGAGCGCGCGCCGCGGACTGACCTGGTAGAGGGCCTCGTCGCAGGCGCTCTGGATGCCCAGGTTGATCATGGTGTTCTGCAGGGTGCGACCCATGTAGTACTCCAGAGACAGATAGTACACGCGCTGAAACCAGACGCAGCCACGGTCAACCAACAGGAAACGTCCGGAGATACGGACACACGGGGATCAGCGTCTTTGCACTGCGAGCTGGAAAAGGAGCATTGTTAAAGGGACCATCCCACCTTAACATTAGTTTTGAGTTGAGATAGCCAAGTTTGCGGCCAGGCTCAGAAACCACCATTTATCCTGGTCGCAACCCCCGCAGCTTTATGGTGTTCAAGAAATTTCTTCCCTTTACTTGCAGGGTGGGACCAGCTTAGTCCCTATCTCTTAACCATTAGCGGTTTGTTGATGACGTCAGCAGTCATTTCAACGCCCGCCATTCCTTGAACCCGAGTTTTGCTGACCTTGAGCTCCCTTTTTTATCAACGTGAAATCCGTCGTCGGCGCTCAAGGCCCTGTCGGCGCTGAGAAAGCCTATTGCTTTTCATTTTAATTTGAATATTAGAAGATACCCACCACTGGAACTTGGACTGATATTATACCAAGGCCGAAGATGATCAAGCTGCCTGCTATATCTGGAGCTTGGTGTTCAACTTCAACATGGAATGAAAAACAAAATATCAAAGCAAACTGGATATGGTACTGCAAGTTTAAGTCCAAAGAAATTTGAAGAGCTGACAATTGACATTAATTCTTTTCCCGCAAGGTTTCCATAGGAGATCACACCATGAAGAAATATTTTTGATGTTAAAGGGACCATCCCACCTTAACATTAGTTTTGAGTTGAGATAGCCAAGTTTGCGGCCAGGATCAGAAACCACCATTTATCCTGGTCGCAACCCCCGCAGCTTTATGGTGTTCAAGAAATTTCTTCCCTTTACTTGCAGGGTGGGACCAGCTGAGTAGTAAAGTAATCTTGGGACCAGCTTAGTCCCTATCTCTTAACCATTAGCGGTTTTTTGATGACGTCAGCAGTCATTTCAACGCCCGCCATTCCTTGAACCCGAGTTTTGCTGACCTTGAGCTCCCTTTTTTATCAACGTGAAATCCGTCGTCGGCGCTGAGGAAGCCTATTGCTTTTCATTTTAATTTGAATATTAGAAGATACCCACCACTGGAACTTGGACTGATATTATACCAAGGCCGAAGATGCTCAAGCTGCCTGCTGTATCTGGAGCTTGGTGTTCAACTTCAACATGGAATAAAAAACAAAATATCAAAGCAAACTAGATATGGTACTGCAAGTTAAAGTCCAAAGAAATTTGAAGAGCTGACAATTGACATTAATTCTTTTCCTGCAAGGTTTCCATATGGAGATCACAGTCACACCATGAAGAAATATTTTTGATGTTAACAGTTGAAAGGGGATTTATCTTCCAGTTTTGACGAAAGACGCTGCTGACTGTCTTTGGAAAAGGATGTCGGCATGAGGTGCAATTGTGCTTGTGAAGTGGTTATAACTGGTCTTTTCACAGTATTAAATTAAATGTGCCATTGCAGCCAAGTGTGTTATCATTACGGAGCGAGCGAAGCGAGCGGAGTCTTTCCTTAGATTAACGGAAATTTCTGAGTATGAGCGGCCGGCCGGCCGGCCGGCCGGCCGTGGGGACGCTCTTCAAAAGCTAATATCTTAGGAACGGGACATCCGATTGACAAGCGGTCTTCTTTACTGAATGTCACTTGGACGTAAAAGTTATGTGGTTTGATGGCCACCATGCGTTCTTGCCAACCACCGCACGTGGCGCGTGGTAAAGTTGGACATTTTTTAAGAACCCCCAAAATTGCAACCTCAATAACGGCACAACGGTTGGGCCGATTGAATTGAAACTCGGTACACAGTTAGGTCTCCATCAGATAATTCATCTGCATGTGTTAAGGTTGGGGTGCTGCTGCACGTGCGCACGTGCAGGGGTCGTTTCCAGATCTCGAGAACGGCTGGACCGATGGCGCTCAAGTTTGGTACACGGTTAGGGACCAGTTAGTAGGGTGCCGTGCACAAGTCAGTTGGGACCCATTTTGCACGTGCGCACGTGCAGGGTGCCGCTTCCAGATCTCGAGAACGGCTGGGCCGATTGTGCTCAAATTTGGCACATCGCTAGAGACCGGTTAGTAGGGTGCCGTGCACAAGTCAGTTGGAGGTACCCCCTCGAAATTTCGCACGTGCAAGGCCCACCCTCTCGCTCGCTCCGTTAGTCGCCCCATAAGGCGTTATACTGGTGTAAGGTAAAATCAAAACTACAATGTTGGTTTTACGAGCATTGAGAAGGCTGGTAGGTAACACCTGCCTGTGCTCGTAAATCACGCTGCCAGAGTATTCTAAATTAATTTTATCATACACTTTTGTTGTCCAGAATGGTTGCACTATTGTTTGGTATCATATTATTCCATGTAAATATGGTAGTGTAAAGTCCGACCAACATGTTACCGGATTTGAAGCTGTTACGTTACCTAAGTACCTGTTTTTTACTGGCGTGGTGAATGTCACCTGGATTTTGTTTTGAGGTGCAGACCTAGTAACTCTGACTACATGGGTTTGAAGCTATTATCTATTCTGTTTTTACTGGCCTGGTGAATGGCGACTGATGTTGTCCGTGGATGGCACTGAAACAAATTTTGAGTGTTTTGTACAGTGTTTTAATACAATGCTGAGGGCTGAAAGTTGTCTTGTTTAGAGTGGTGAAAGTTCAGGATATGCCAGCCACCATGGTGGGTCAGAGTTAAATGTGTTGCAGTCAGTTCGGCTTCGGCAAGCACACGGATGGGCATACGCATCAAGACCTGCTCTGCCATACTTTCAGCCAATTTTACCTAGGTAGGTCTTTTCTTTTTTCTGCCAAAAGCTATGACATTGTGAATTTCAGCACTGTGGCCTGTGTGTAGCTTTCAGGAAAGCAATTCTAAATAAAGCTCTGATAAAGTGCAAAATCAGCAATGCAGCCCTCTATTACATTTTCTACAACATCTTACTTGTTCCTTGCATGGAAAGAAAAATGCAATGTTATGAATTCGTTTATTCACATAATTTGACAAGCATGCAGTTACCTGCTACTATCACTGCACAAAACAGAGCAGAAAACATCAGTTGATCAAACACAAGACATAACAGAAGTTTACAACATAGGGCTGCCGAACCTGCTTCCTCCCACCACAGTTGATGCCATTTCCTAGCCTGGCTTGATGTGAGCACTGAATAGCTGCTTTGTCTAATTACAGCTCACTACCATTCAACTTAAACTACTCTCTTTAAAGTAAGAGTGAGAGCGTTCAGTGTTCATAGCAGCTCGACAGACGACAGACAACAAACATCTTGACAAACCAACCAGTATTTGATTTGGCTAATGATTTATGTGCTTGTTGTATCATGGCCAAACTACTTTAACAGCAATAATCCCTGTTTCATCTTGATCTTGCTTTTATTTCCATTTGAACTCAGATCTTGAAACAATCATTTGAAGTGATATCAGATACTGGCTTCTGTTTCTCTTGAAAGCAAGTTAAAACAACAATGATAAACTAAGGCAGGAGATGTGAGTTGTGGCAGTAGATTTTTGATTCAACATATGTCAACCTTATATTGCTTGAGACCTCTGTGACAGACAAACAAATATTTATAGTTTTTTGATAGTTTGGATTCTTGGCTTGATTTAGCAGATCAGCTGTGAACCTTGACTTTGAAATCACATAAATGTCATGGTACCCGAACGAATCCTCGCATGACATCTCTTCGTAGCACAATTTTTGGTCCGCATTTCTTCGTCTACAAATCTTCGTCGGTGCATTTATTCGTCCCTCAATGCTTACTCTTGCACATATTTGCGTTGAAGAAGAAATGCGAGCCGATTTTCATATACCCTGGTGCGAGACAAAGTAATGCGATAGGTACGAATAAATGCCCTGACGAAGATTTGCAGACGAAGAATTGCGATACGAAGAAATGCCATAAGAATTGTCCTGGAATCCTTTATTGGCCATCATATATTGACCTTGATAAGATAAACGCATCATTCGCGCAATATTTGTCGCACTTTGATACCAAACTATTGCTTCCAAATGCTGACGTAAAGAAAACCTTTATGTGACGTCATAGAAACAGCGGATTTCCCAAAAAGTAAACAAAAATAAAAGTCTTATATCTCGAAAACGGGTGAATATTTTCCGGTAAAATTTGGTAGATGTTCATTTTCGCTCTTTGTGATTCACGCTACATCACTTTTATGCCAATTCATTAACTTTTTTGAAGGTGGGAGGGTCCCTTTAACAGTTGAAAGGGGATTGATCTTCCAGTTTTGACGAAAGACGCTGCTGACTGTCTTTTGGAAAAGGATGTCGGCATGAGGTGCAATTGTGCTTTTACGAGCCAAGCTGCTGCGCGCCCTAACTCTTCAACAAGTGCAATTGTGCTTGTGAAGTGGTTATAACTGGTCTTTTCACAGTGTTAAATTAAATGTGCCATTGCAGCCAAGTGTGTTATCATGTAAGGTAAAATCAAAACTACAATGTTGGTTTTACGAGCATTGAGAAGGCTGGTAGGTAACACCTGCCTGTGCTCGTAAATCATGCTGCCAAAGTATTCTAAATTAATTTTATCATACACTTTTGTTGTCCAGAATGGTTGCACTATTGTTTGGTATCATATTATTCCATGTACATATGGTAGTGTTAAGTCCGACCAACATGTTACCAGATTTGAAGCTGTTACGTTACCTAAGTACCTACCTGTTTTTTTACTGGCGTGGTGAATGTCACCTGGATTTTGTTTTGAGGTGCAGACCTAGTAACTCTGACTACATGGGTTTGAAGCTATTATCTATTCTGTTTTTACTGGCCTGGTGAATGGCGACTGATGTTGTCCGTGGATGGCACTGAAACAACTTTTGAGTGTCAACTGCCATGTACAGTGTTTTAATACAGCGCTGAGGGCTGAAAGTTGTCTTGTTTAGAGTGGTGAAAGTTCAGGATATGCCAGCCACCATGGTGGGTCAGAGTTAATGTGTTGCAGTCAGTTCGGCTTCGGCAAGCACACGGATGGGCATACGCATCAAGACCTGCTCTGCCATACT